GGGTCCCTTGGTTGTTCCAGGTAGGGGCTGCGCCAGCCCCGGCACCGGGACCGCGGCGGGGGGGGGAGGAGGAGGATGGGAGGGAGAAGCGGTTAACGCAGCCTGGGGAGCTCGCTTACCGGCGCCGTCTCTCCAGCCAGGCTGTGCCGACCCCCACCAGCTCCCTCTGTCTCGGAGTAAGGCTCAGCAGGAGCGCGGTGGGGCTCGTTACACCGCTGCGACAGCCCCTTGGTGCTGCTTTCCTTGTGCGCTCGCTCTTCGCCGTGCACCCCAGTAACGTATATACAACATTTTTGTCTCAATGTGTGACATTTTGTAGACTTTACTCGTGCAGTTAGGACGTCACCTTTTAGGGAGAGTAAAGCTCTTACGCTGCAGGGCGTTAGCAGCGGCCGTGGGCTGACACTGGACTGGGAGTGCAAACGCGACAGGCTTGGCAGATTCTTCCCGCTGCACAGCTGTGTGAAACTGTTTACAAGAAGAGGTACGATCTAGACACACAGGGTGATCCTTGGAGCTGTTTCAGTATGTTCTCAGGCGTAGCCCAGTTTCTGCTGCCTTTGTGTTACGTGTAGCGAGTTCCAAATGCGTTTCCTGGAAGCAGACCTCAGCGCCGAGGAGCTGGCTTCGGTGATGGCAGTGTCTCTAGACAACAGAATGAAGTAGCTTCTCCCAAGTATGTGAGGAAAAAGACCTAGTCCAAACAGACCCTAATCTTCCTAAATTGTGTGGCGTGCTGGTATTTAACAGAAATGGGAAATCTTTTAGCCAGCAAGTGGGAGAAGATGGGAACAGCTAAGGGACTATTGAACTTGGTTTTGAGTGAAGCACAGTGAATGAAAAAGCCGATGTTTATGAAAAAAAGAAGCTTCTGAATGAACTGGCACATTTCCCAACACCCAGAAGCTACCAGACATAAGCTACTGTAAAATGTGATATTTAGTAATAGCACATACTCCAGGTTTCTAAATAAAGCCTTGCAATCTGGATGCTGAGGCGAAAGTAAAATACACATGTGGTTGTCTTTAGATTTTGATTTTCAAATTCAGCAAAGCCTCTATCACTCTTATTTTGTGACAGTCTATGGTTCTATAATCATTCACCTGCTGGGGGCATTAGTGTCATTTTGAGAACCTGATCCACGTCTGTGCTTGCAGACAGAATTTAGCACAACGCAAATACCATCTCAGTTCTACCCAGTTGCTCTGCTTTTTGTGAATATGTAGAGGTGTGCTAGTGCAGCACCGTAATCGCTTTCTAACAGAATTAGCAGGAGCAAGTTTCAACACAGTGTTTTGAAGAGAGAAACTGAAAGTATCTTCATTTTTAACAAAAATAGGTATTTGAAATTCTGTGACTTAAAATAGCTATAGACTATCCTCACAAGTAGCTTACTGAGCATTTTGAAGGGGAGGGAAGTACTTCAAAGATACTTTGCTAGTTCTATAAATAAAAATGGTACCTAGCAAGCTAGATCAAATTAGCTGACATGTTTTTCCAGCTAAGATTTTTTTTTCTGGCGGGTAGACTATTCACAGAATCACAGAACGTTAGGGATTGGAAGGGACCTCAAAAGATCATCCAGTCCAATCCCCCTGCCGGAGCAGGAAAATTCAGTCACTAATAGAGTACAAATTTCTTTTTTGTCTGTATGGATTATCTGATTTGCATTCTTTAAAATGTTTTAGAAAAGTTAGACTTGTAGTTAGAAGTTTACAGGAAAGTGAAGTGTTCGTGATGTCAGCTCATGAGGTTCAGAGATCAGTTGTTGCCAGACACAGAATTCGTAAAAATTTGATAAGCTCTGTGGAAAGCAGCATTGAACGTGACAAGGATTTGACTCCTGTTCTCTCCACAGTACAGCCCAGACAACGTGGCTGGAGCGGACAGAGCCATCGACCCCACTGAAATCACCTTTTCAGGATGTTTTTGCCGTACGAGCTCCTGTGTGGTTCATATGTGCTCGTGTCTTCGCCATGGTGAAAACTACACCAGTTTGTGCCTCAGCCCTCCAGCCAAGGAGGAGAAGTACGCCAGGCCCGTCTTCGAATGCAACGTCATGTGCCAGTGTGGTGAATCCTGTCAAAACAGGGTTGTTCAGAGGGGGCTGCAATTCAGACTTGAGGTATTCAAGACTGAGAAGAAAGGCTGGGGTCTGCGCACTCTGGAATTCATACCTAAGGGAAGATTTGTTTGTGAATATGCTGGTGAAGTTTTAGGCTTTAACGAGGCACGTAGAAGAATTCAGGCACAGACTTCAAAGGATTCGAACTATATTATAGTGGTGAGGGAGCACCTCCATAACAGCTGCGTAATGGAGACGTTTGTTGACCCTACGCACATCGGCAACGTAGGCAGATTCCTGAATCATTCCTGTGAACCAAATTTATTCATGGTGCCAGTTCGAGTTGACTCCATGGTGCCTAAACTGGCACTGTTTGCAGCCACTGATATTTCTGCTGGAGAGGAACTGTCATACGATTATTCTGGAAGATTCCATAATTTGCCAATAACGAACAGGGAACAGAAATCTTTAGAGGAAGGTAACACATTGAGAAAACCTTGCTACTGTGGTTCCCACGCATGTGCATCCTTCCTACCGTGGGACAGCTCCCTCTTTGACACAGAGGACACTTGTCCAGGGAACTCTCCATAGCTTTTTCAGTCCTTAAGCATACCTGAAAGATACCGTTTTCCATAGTAGTTAAATTGCAGTTAAATAAAACTCTGTATTCCACCAAGGAAGCGTGTCTGGTTTTGAGTAACAGCTAAAAGGCAAGATTTTGACAGTAAGTTCATGCAACATCCTAGAGACTGTTTACAAGGTAGGTCGTGTGATACGAAGGAGCACTGGTGCTTCAAGTTGTTCCAAAATCAGCTGCTGAGCTAGGCCTGCTGTTTTTCTCTTGTTTTCCTCTAACAGCTTGCTGTATGATAAAGCACTTCTCTCCATCTCTGCCTTTCAGAAAAAAATGAACACTGGTACACAGAAAGGGCAGTGAGAAGTGTCACTGAGAGTTCCACAGGAGAATGAGATCAAGGAACGTTGACATTTGCAAGAAGGGCACTAGGTTTTTTAAATCCCATTGAAATAATTTTTTTAAATTACTACAGATTTTTTTTGTTCCACACAACATAAATAACTAATTATTATTGATGTAAAAAGCTTGTCTAGGAAGATTAGCTTGAATGCTTTGTCATCCCTCATTTTCCATTTCCAGTCACATCTGTGTGCCAAAACCTGGTTTTCAGTGCTGAGTGCATCTTGTTGGCATTTAGCTTCCGTGTAAGCAGTGCAGCACTGCAAGTTCTGCGAAGTACAGTCATCCCTTCGTCAGTCACCTCTGTCTCAAGGCTCATCTCGTAAGATTTCTGCAGTAACAGCAGGCAGTACCTCCCTGTGACTTTTCAGCACCATTATCGCACACTCGGGAAGCAAATTCAGACTGCAGTCTAAAGCAGCACAATGCTGCTATTCCGACTTCTGAAATGGATCAAAATAGGAACTAAAGTACAACAAATCTGTCTTTTTACATTTCTGAACAGCTGGCAGATCGGTGAGCACTCCTTCCAGCTGCTGACTGGTTGGTTTGCACTGATCCTGCAGAGCCAGACAGCATTAAGCGAGGCCTGGCCGTTCCCTGCAGAGGGAGAAGGTCACTGCCTCTTGTTTTCATTATTCTTGTACAGGTCTAATGCATGCACAGTGTGTCTTTACACCAGGGACACATAAGGGAGCTCGCCAGACAGGCAACGTTCTGTAACCGCACGTTGCTTCACTTCCTTTCCCAAACAATCCAATTAAGGAACTTTCAGACAAGCCTGTTTTGAATTTCCCCCAATTTTGATACACAGGACAGGTAAACTGCAGGGCTGCTTTCTGCAGTCATGCCACAGTGTGCCAGCAGTGGCACAAGCCCCTGGGTCATTTGCTTCAAACATTTTGATCTTTAACTGTATCCATGGGCTTTGACAAAACACACACAAGGCAGCGCATCGTGGGGACCGGGAGGAACAGTTCTGAAGAGAGAACATTCTGCTTGATTCAAGTAGTTAGAGTAGGCATTTGTTTAAGCTGTAGACTTAAGAAGAACACTTTGAGTGATTAAGTAGTTAGAATAGGTATTTGTTTAAACTGCAAAGTTAAAAAATCTGTAGGATATATGTGTACAAGTACTTAGAGATGGTACATACCATGCTCAAGAACAGTTGTAATAAGAACTAAATAACATGAAAGATAGTAGTTGTGATTAGACAGCGATAAGAATAGGCCATAACTTTTCTCTCCATATCAAAATTATGTAGGGGTAAGCTTTTGAAGTAATTTAGTGTCTGAAGATGAAATATTATGGTAGTGATGAACCAATAAAGGTAAAGGGCAAATTAAAAAGTGGACATTTTATGCATACTTGTATAATAGAACAAGGGGAAACGGCACCAAGCTGTGCCAAGGGAGGTTCAGGTTAGAGATAAGGAGGAAGTTCTTTACTGAGAGGGTCGTCAGAAGCTGGAACAGGCTGCCCAGGGAGGTGGTGGAGTCACCATCCCTGGATGTGTTTAAGGAGCGGGTAGACGAGGTACTTAAGGATATGGTTTAGGGGGTAGACAGGAGCGGTTGGACGTGATGATCTCAGAGGGCTTTTCCAACCGAGCGATTCTGTGATTCTGTGATAATCTTGTAATATTGCTTTGTTAAAGGTGTATAAATAGCCTGTGAAAATGTATGGGCTTCGGAGCAAATTAGAGGAGCTATCCTCTGTGTTTCCCCAATGCTGCAATAAAATAAAGAATATAAAAATAAAGAAGTGCCTGCTTATCTGCAACTGTGTAGATAAGTTTTCTTGTCGTGATTGTGACCCAACAAAGGCCATCGGCAACTTTTATTTTAAAAAAAGATGACAACTTTGATTTGGAGCTGAAAGGTCAGCCTGATACTGATGAGAGATAAAGAACATTTTGGTGCTATTATTTTTCTGTTTGCTAAGCGAAATCTTACTTTGTGTTTGCCTCTACTTCGTAGATAAACTTCAGTGTTAGCTTTTCCCCATTTATCTTCATGCTTCATTATGAAGAACTGTTGAGATTTACCCATGGGTGTGGGTTTAGTTTAAAATGCAGATTACCATGCGTTTTTTTCTTCAGGTTAATTGTTAAGTGTCCCTTCCATCACTACAGAAAGCTTCAGAAGGATTTCAGCTGGTTATCAGAAGTAAATCACAAGCTGAGTGGCCATTAACTTTATTCTTCGCCTGATTAAAGCTGCCTGTTTTTACTTAACTTCCCCAGAGCCCATAACTCAGCTCACACACTGCACGAGATACCAGAGCACAGCTGAGGTTGCAAGGCCTTGTCTGCTTTACAAGCTTACCTGGTTTTCTTCCCCCGAAGGGCATTGCAGCAGCTGCTTTCAGCATGCAGGACTGGAGGGTTGGGAGCGGATCATCCAATCTGCTTCAAACCTGGAAAAAGTTTCAGGACTAATTTTCTACCATCTGTATTCTTCTTCCTCAAGAATAGATGGGTTTTCAAGATGACAGCGCTATTTGTTAGCTTCCTGTTATGAATATGCACTTGGCATGATTTTGAGTCGTTAAGGAAGTGTAGATTTCAAAAACCAACCCCCAAACACAAGCCCCACAAGCAGTATCTCATCCTTACATCGCCAGCCTTAAACCAGAGAACACAGCCGAGCCTTTGAGGCTGTGCAATCCTGCCCTTCCAGTCCCAGCCAACATGAGTATCAGTGACCTGGTTAGCTCAAACTTCCCCGGCACAGCACAAGAGCGCCTTGTGCTGCTGAAAACCAGCCACGGTGGAGGCCTTGCACAAAATAATGTTGTCAGTGAGCTCTAAACCATCACGGCAATCGCTAACGACCTTTTTCCATATAGCCTGTGCTGGGTACTTCGCAGTGCTGTAGCATCACAGCTACAGCCTGCAGGTGTGGAGCAAAATCCTACTTAAAAAAAACAACAAAACATACAAGGGACTACATAAAAGGGACATACAGGCTCTTCTCGGTGACAAACAATGATAGGACAAGGGGTAACGGACACAAACTGGAACACAGGAGGTTCCACTTAAATTGGAGAAGAAACTTCTTCTCAGTGAGGGTGACAGAGCCCTGGCCCAGGCTGCCCAGAGAGGTTGTGGAGTCTCCTTCTCTGCAGACATTCAAAACCCGCCTGGACGCCTTCCTGTGTAACCTCATCTGGGTGTTCCTGCTCCGGCAGGGGGATTGGACTGGATGAGCTTTGGAGGTCCCTTCTAATCCCTAATGTTTTGTGATTCTGTGTGACTACCTGGTGCATTTCTGTTCACTTTTTCCTTTGGGTTCCTCTAAGCTTCATCGAGCCCCAGTCTGCCACTTCAGTCAGTGTGCTCTTGAACAGCAAATCCAATCAGCTTGAAAGACTGAGCTTGTAATCCTCCTCCCTCCATGCTACTCTGAGAATGCAGGAGTGAGTATCAGTAGTTCTATATTCAGTATAGAACTATATTCTGTATTCACTTTGGGCTTGGAGATTTTCTTTCCCTCTGAAATCTGATCAGATTACTTCAAGGATACTTAATGAAAGATCTTGTAATAAAATACAGTGACTATTATCCAAACAAAACCAGCATGAAGGGGACACATTCCACCCTCTCCACAGAGGAAAAGGAAGACTTTCCTTGATGTGCCACCCACAGCACAGCGAGTACTGACAAACCTGGTGGTGTGGCATCATAAAGCTGCTTATTTAAACAAAGTCACATGATTTTTCCAATATATGGAATTGTGTGTATTTTTTTTTCAAGGACTTTTTCCAGAATGAAAACCAACGCCAACTCTACGCAAAATCTTTTATAAAGTGCATCGCTTCATGTGGCAGAAAGACAGAAATAAAGATAGAAAGAATCTTCCCCTATTACTTAGTAAAATAGGTGTTTTTAATGCATAGATTTTAATTGAACATTTAATGCTAAAGCAGTCTTTACTACACAAAATACTCACCACAGCTTTTATCATCCTTACGTGAGTGCAAAGTCATAGGGGTGTGTTCTGGAATGGTTTTTTCCCCTGCTCCCTGCAATTCCCAGCTGGAGACTGGTGGTCATGGGAGGGCTTCCAAGAGGTTCTCCAGTATCCTCTTTTTTACCTTATTAGGCCTTAGGGCTCAGAGGTGCATCTGCCATCTTCTCACTTTAATGATCATTTGTTAGCTTTGGTTTCTAATGATGCCATGTTTGCAATTTACAAAAATTCCAAAATAAGCCTACACCATGTCCAAGAGAAATGCAAACAAAATGGCCAGTGTTTTTCCATCAGTAAAAGTCTTCAGGATAAATAAATTACTGAAATTTTATTCAAGTATGTACATAATTTCTAATCACCACCCTGAGGATTACCATCCCTCAGCTGTAGAAGGCACTTTCTGAAGAGAAGTGTTTCACCAGAAAAAGGACATTTCTGGACCCAATTTTCACTGCCCCAGGAATGTAATATGAGGGCTGCTGTGTGAATAACAGTCTGTGCCAGTCCTTGTCTCTTCTTAACTCCTTCAATTTTCTTTTAAAGCTATCTAGAATTTCTGAACAGCTTAAGATTTCTTTTAAAGCTGTCTAGGAGTTCTTAAAGTCCTTGTTTATTGGATTTGAGTGTAGAAATTAAAACTATACATAAATAAAACTATTTAATAAAGCTCTTTTCTAAAGGAGCTATTAATTAACCTTTTGAAAACACAACCAGCATGTTTCTGCTAAGTTTTCTGCTACTTAACTCCAGAATACTCGTGCTAAAACCAGCAGAATTCACCAGTGAAAACATTGGTCAGGAGAGTCCAGGCCAGGTTCCCCAAAGATAAACATACGAAGGTTCTTCAAGCCATGGTGAGCAGTGTTGGATTTTTCCCCTCAGTAGGAAGTTTAAGCACTAGACTTTTCTATCCTGTGTCATCAGCAAGTGACACCCAACACATCATCTCTTCCTCAGGTGAAATTCATCCCTTCATGTCCCAGCACAGCAGCCTGCTTGGTCACTGTAGCTTTGGCAAGGTGTCTGCTGCGCAGCGGAACCCCAGATTGGAAGCGGAGCTGTCGGGGGTGTTTTGACTGCGGGCTGCACAGCGATACCTGTAGCAGTAAGACTGGAGAGGAAGAGGGGAAAAAATAGAACTTCAGAGCATATCGCAGCTCGGGCTTCCTTAGGGAAGAGTCTGTTAAATTAATATAGCAAAACATTTCAAATGCTGTTGGGCATATCAGACAGATCAATGAACTGATACAGATCAAAATCCCTGTGTTAGAAATAAGGGAGATCGCAGCACGCACAGACCAGTTTGAATGGCAAAGTGTCCAGTAACATCAGTGTCAACTGATAACATACCCTGTTCAGGGAAAAAGCTGAAGCGACCGTTCTGCTTGTCCTCAGAGGAAAAGGGCACATCTCAGTGCCGCAAGCTGTGTATCAGCGTACTCAAAACGACTGGAAATGGACAGGTACTGGCACCCATCAAAAACCACTTCACTGACTGAGGAAGAAAGAATAACTGGAGGCAAACTCCAGTGTTCCTGTGGCTAGCACTCTAGGGATACTGATAATCAAGATATAATCTAGACTGTGGCCATAAAAACATTTACATTTAAAATTAAGCAACTGATAAAATGATTCAATTGCATTTCAGATATTCCTAGTAGACAACTCTGAACACTGTCCTCTTCCCAGACTGCAATCACACAGTAGCCACCACTCAGAAAAGGAAAGGGAAAACCATCCTTGCCATTTCACTTCTTCAAGTGAGAAAGTAGCACAAGGTTATTTCACAGGACTTGTCCTCACACCCCAGATCCAGCTGCTCAATGCCACCGATGTGCGTTCACAGACAATAGCTCCACGCTTTTGTTCCTGGTGTTGTTGGACTTGTGCTTGTAGGGTTTGATATTTCTGTGACAGGCCAATTTAGACTAAAAATGTCATCTCAAAAGATTCAGAAAAGGAGTACTGCGGGGTGCTTTGTACAAGTTATTTTGAGAAAGGTTGTTAACTTATATACAACCAAATGAACCCAAACTGGACAAGATCAGAGACCTTAAAAGCAAGGTATAGGCACTGATCCATAATGTTTTCTATGTTCCTAGGCTGTACAGATTTAGCCATGCTCTGCACATGTTAATACACTTATACTCCTTGAAAAAAAGAAAAACCTGTGCTCTTCAGAGTGCTACAGATTCTTACACGTTAATACACTTATACTCCTTGAAAAAAGAGAAACCTGTGCTCTTCAGAGTGCTACAGATTCTCAGTTATCTGAGGCTAGGAGCAGTGCTTTCCAAACCACAGAACTAACCAGTTCAAACAGTTTGCTACATTAACATTACCCGCACAGAAGGACAGTCACATTGGTAGTCTCACTAATAAAGTGCTGGGGTAGCATTATGACTGTGCATTATGGAACAACTGCAGTACAATCCACCCAAGTTCTGTCCCATTTTGCTCAGGCTTTTGGTTCCTGTCCTCCCGCGACAGGCTCCTGGCCTCTGACAAAAACTCCACCACTTTCACTCAGGCTGGTTCAGCTGCAGTCAGCTCTGAACCAGGCTTCTGGAATGGCGAGGTGAAAAAGAAGACACTTTTCCACCTTTTTTTGTTACCCCTTATCCTTTTTTTTCTTTTTTTTTTTTGGGGGGGGGAGGAAGGGCTGGGGAAAGGGGGCAGGGAGCAGAGGGTAGTTCTTATTTAAACAGAGATCCCTTCAGGAGTTTGGGCACAGCTACTAAAGAGTTCAATCCGCACAACCATGAGGGTGGCGACAGCTTCTATGGGCTCTGTCATGCAGGGAACAGCCCCCTGAACCAGGCCATCCCCGCAGAGGTAGGTCACAGATGCTGATTTCCATGAGTTAACAACATCTCCATCAAGGGAGATCCAAACAGCAGCTTCACCAGCCCTTCCATAGCAGTGCAGAGCCACAGAGCAGCCACTGCCCTCCAAGACCAGTGCACGCTGCTGCCATCTCACACTGCAGGGGTCTGCCCAAAACCTGACATATGCTATGTGATTTGGAAGCTGAACTATGTTGAAAATAAAAGTATCTGCTAAGCATACATGTAAAAAGGTGCAAATGTGAGCCTTTGTCAACTCTGATAGGTAGAACAGCAGTAGAATAGATAGATTAATCGGAATATATTTTCAGACACCTAATAAAGAGCCCTTGTACTAATAGAATTCAGCGGAGTTTTTTGTCTTGATACACAGCCTAGTTTTATCACCTACAAAAAAGACTAGGACAGACTAGAATCTTCACAAGCCTTTAAAATGGGTCATATTATTCACCACTGAAGAAGAGTCTATCCCAGTGTTAATTTAATCAAAACTGCTAATTAACATCTGACATTGATTTCACCTGAGAAGGAAATCAGTGTAGAAAATGGGATCTCACTGCAGAAAATTTAATCTAATTATGAGAATGATTTGCCAGCTGCAGGCTTTGAAAGAGAAAAAGGACAGGACAGCTTTAATGAAAAAGGAGATCTACAATGAGCACTTTTTCCAGAGCTGCGTGAACTGAGTTTAAAACGTAATTTGTGTCATGAACACACTGCATTGTGGTGGGATCCAGCCTTTTCAGAAAGAATTTCAAGTCTGCTGTTATCCACACTGAATCATCTCCCAGCCATCTTTTTGCAAACACCTGATATCCTTTCTGAATCAAGAGTCATTCTTAAAGACAGTCACATTCCTATTTCTACTCCTAGAAGTACCACTCAAGCACTATAATTAAAGTAGCATAAAGAAAATAAAAAAGTGACGACTTACTGGGTAAAGCAGTTTGTTTGTTTGAGTTCCAAGCTAACCAAAGAGAATTCCTTAAGACCATTAGGTACTGCTGTTCCTTGAATTGCAAGAACCCTCTTAACAAGCACCCAGGCTGTCAGGAAACTGTCAGAAGATCATTTCTTTGTCAAGTTGGGTACTTTCAGTGAAAAGATCAATATGAAAATACACAGGCCTTTTCACATTACCTTATGGCACATATAGGATCCGCCCTTCTTCACTCTGTCAGTCCCCGACGAGGGCCCTTTCTGCAGAGCAGAGGACACTGGTTACTATTCAAGGGAGAACAATTCACCAATTAGAGGGTAAAGGGAAAAGCTGTAAGAAAAGGGAGATGGATGTGAAGCAGCCATAAATATTCAAAGTAAACACATTTCAGATGTCTGTCTGAACCAGAAAGCTGGAAATAACCATGTTGTAAGAGGCTTGCAGACAGGTGAGAGTAATTGTTGTCCCTCCCCACTGCTGCAAATATTTAACATTTGAGTTGCTGCCCACCTGCCAGAAGTGCCTTGTGCTGTTTCATAAAGCACCTGGTAACAGACTGTAACAACCACCGTGGCAACCATGAGTAATCATCTTCAAAAACAGATCAGTTGCTGTAGTTTCAGACATTTCCTAATGAGAGATTAGGAATTTCACACTGGCCTGCACATGTAAGGAAATCTGGGATTCTCATCAGTTCCACTGCCATGAAACAAACACATGGAAACCCGGGAGCCTCCAGAAGGGATACAGAGACCTCCCGCTTGTCTAAGTGCAGTTACACTGTTTGGTGGCCGGTTGTGATGAGGGGCTGTGATGTTTGACATTTATTCTCTTTCCAGTCCAAATTCCAGTCTGAAACTCAAGTTAGTGCCTGTGCAGCAAGACGTTCTGTATCATCTCCCAGTCACCATGTACTAAATTTGTTATTATGTAGGAAAATCACAGCTAAAGAGGTCTGCAGAAAGCACTGCACTTAGGAGCAATGACTTCCCAATTTCATGTACATTTGCAGTGTAATGTATGTGATTTATTTGAAGTGCTTATGAAATTGGCCCTAGAATTGATTTAATGAGGTTATTGCACTCTTCTTTTTCATTTCTAACTCCAAATAGTTCAAGGAGAAAGCTGGGCTTCCCTGCTAACACACTTTCGCTTGCTTTGATGCATATATATTACACAGACGAGCACTTCTCCCGCTTAATTCCATTTAGCTGTGAAAGTTACTATTGCAATACTTTATGTTTCCGCTCTCGATACCAAATATTCTTAATACTCTTTCTACACTCCGCTTAAATTGAGCCACAGTGTCAAACCAGATCAAGAAAATAATTAGCTGTCAAGCCCAGCCTAGACGTTAGTACTGCCACTGAGAATCCCCTCCAAGTTTCAAGATGTGCATGTATTTCTGTTTCTGTACACGTTACACTAGTGTGCAACAACATTTCATTATGTACAAGGCTCCAAGAAAGAATTTCACTCAACTCGAGGTACAAACTGTTTCTTCACTGGTTTGCAGGGTGTCTAAATCAAGTCTCTATTTCTAGATGAAACCTTATCAGAAGAATTTGTAGAATATAGGAAATAAAGAGCTGTGATGTGATGCAAATCCCTGCATTTTCTGTTAAGACCATCACCTATATGAAAATATAGGTTACAAGAAAGTACTCAGGCCAGTTTTCACCAGTTAGGAAAAAAATTCGTTGCTACAGCATATGCAGCTGATATAAAACAGCATCATAAAAAAGTACCATAATAAAAAAATATAGGTTACAAGAAAGTAATCAGGCCAGTTTTCACCAGTTAGGAAAAAAGAATTCGTTGCTACAGCATATGTAGCTGACATAAAACAGCATCATAAAAAAGTACCATAATAGGTTAAAGCCAGACAACTGCTGGAAAAGCAATTCTGCCAACTATTTTGTCTCTTCATGTCCAGCAGCCATTGATCCTGGAAGTATTTGGAGGGTGCAGTGCTTTCTCCAAAACCTTATGAACACCTTGACCAATGTAAATGCAATCATCAAAGAGACATTTCACTTCTGCAGTATCTTCTGAATCCAGGAATAATTTCTCTTTCAGAAGCTGCTTCCTCACGAGGGCATTTCACAGGGAATGATGTCTCTCCTGCTTTTCTCAGTCACACTGATGTGACCGGTTTGGTTACACCTGGCCATTGTGCTGTCCTACTCTGTATCAAGGGATGAAGTTGTCTCCCACCCAGCTCCTGCGTTACCAGAGGTGAAGTTCTAGAAGAATCAACACACACAAGATAAGTATTTGCAACACTGCATATAAATCATAGGGACTGTAAGAAAACCCTGAGAGTTGATGTTGGAACTACAGAAGCTCTTGCCTGCATCTGAGTTTGACTGCTTTGAAAGCCTTCATATCAAAAGCTGACCGTGCTGCAACTTCACATTTATTGCAAAAGAGACATGTGAAAAAGAATTTGGCCTACTACTGCATTGACTACTCTACAAATGCTCAAGGGAAAACACACCCAGAGGCAGTGACTGCTTGCTTCCGAGCCAGGGGGCTCCTCCACAGGACAGGGTTACTCCATTTCCAAGGACTCTGGAAATTGCCTTCACAAAATCTGCGTGTGAAGGCACTGAGCTCCACTCCAACATAACTAACAAGAACAATCAACTCCAGCTGCCTGTTAATGTCATTTATGGGAAGCCAGGGTAGAGCCAGACAGAATAAAACTGACCTAAAAAAGCAGCTACACAAGAACAAGACAAAACAGAGAACAATGGAGCTGCTGAGCAGGATTTCCCATTAAAAACTGTAATGGAAACACAGAGCCACAATCTTTGCTATTAGCTCCGCAGTAACTCTTATAAACTAAGAGGAGCACGCTAATGTACAATTAGGTTTATCATCCAGCCATAAGACTATTGCATGTCTCCACAATTATACAGGGATAACATACTGAAGAAGCATGTGAACCAAAGAAAATGGTAGTTGCATAAGCTCTTTTTATTAATTACAAATGTCTTCTGCCAGGCAGAAATTGAGCCTTACTGAAGAAACCTCCAACATGTCATATGCGGGAAGAAGCCACCTGGATTCTTTTTTAAGCATATGAAGTTGGACGATTGTGTCTGGGTAGGTAGAAGGGTGCAGCATCTCCTTAGTCTACCTATAGCATGAACCATCTCTGTTATCTGGAACAAAAACCCTTTATCTCAGCTGAAGCTGGGAATGGAAAAAGCCAATTTCCTACAGACAAACTGGACTAAGATTTCAATTTCCTGAAAGATGTGAAGAGCTAGATGTCCTTACCAGCGACACCCCACTTCTGACACCATACGCAAGAGCTCCATACGTGCCCTTGTGACCAGGCTCCTTTTCTTTGTGTGGTCTTTCCCCTGCCTGCACTCGTTGCTTAAACTCTCTCATTTTACAAAGGACATTACCAGTGCTTACATCTGCAGACGTAGAAGTGCAAACTCATTCCTGTCACTGGCTGCTTAGAAAGTACTGGAAAAATCCCCAACCAAACTCCCCCAGAAAACTTCACTGCTTTGTCTTCCACAGAACTACACAGACTTCAGGTATGGCATCCTGAAAAGCCAAAGATCCCTCAGTCAACAGCTTTTCTACAATGATGCATACATTTAACATACTTGGCAAAGTAAGAGCATACAAACATAACCTAGCTTTGACCAGACAATGCTTACACAGTATCACACATTTCTTATAAATAAAAAGGCGAGCACCTGCAATGTTAGCATTTGTTCATGCTTGTATCTTCATTACAGATAAAGGAAACCTGGTTTGATTGTGCTTACAGATAATAAAAACTAATCAGAGCACAGCAATTAAGGTCATCTGATTAAAACAAGCAAATCCTTGTTCCATCAAACAGTATTGTTCTGTGCCATGACCTGGAGAAGTGCATCACCTGGTACTGAAGTGGAAGGACAATTGCTGCCTGTATGTAAAGAGCCAGAGCTGTCCTGACATTGATCCCAGATTTGAAGAACAAATTTACTGTATATTGGCAAGTTTATTGTGTAGTATAATGTTGTAACAGCCACATTATAATCTGATTGCATAATTACAAGTGCTTGTGCATTTAATTACCAAAGCTTATAAGTAGGATTATTCATTACAGTTATTAAAATACATCCTAGAAGCTTTTTCAAATACAAAGTTGAATTACTTTATTACATCAAACAAATGCTTTCTGAAGTTGCATCATCATTTTCTATGCATAGTCAGCTACATGGCCACTCTACTTTGAACTATATCAGTTTTCAAACAGCAAACTGCAGGTCATAAGAAACTATGCACTGTATACAAAGAAATCTGAGCCAGAAGTCACCACAATTAAAATGGCTCCATGAAGGGATTGTGGTTTGACTGATCTCATACACACCTGGCCTACTGTCTGCCAAATGATCATTTACATTTTTCAAACAAAAACCAAAACCCAAGCCTGGTGGTTCCTAGTCCTGCCCTTGTGCACCAAACAGTAGCTGCAAGACGTACTGAAGAAACATTTTTTTGGTGAACTTAAAACTGTGGATTTTTCTTTTCTCCACTCATGAAAAAAAATCAGCCCAGAAGCACGTATTTGACAGCAGCAGTGCTCTGGCCTTTCACCCGCTGCCAATACTGGAGGAGTTGAAGTATCAGTTTTACATTTTCTCAAGTGGATTTTATAATTCCCTCCAAACCAAGCTGGACCACACAAAACCCACATCACCTACATCATTAAAACACGCTGCAAGACCGACTGTACTGCTACGGGCCCCTATTGTGCACAAATCCAAGATGTCTTCAAGTGCAAGCAAAATAATTTCAGAGGACAGCAGCAAGATAGTTTGTTCCCTGACCTCCAGGCAGACCCTCAGGTAAAGAATCCCTTAGGAAAGGGGCCCCAGAATGCACAATGTGTACAGAACAGCCACCGAAGGGAACAGGCTGGCACCCTACAGCTAAATGCATGACAAAGTTCTGCTTAGAAAGGCTTTTAGTGGTTGGAGAACACAGAATATGGACCAGAACTACACTGAAAGGTGAGGGAAAGTTAGAATAGCTGGTCACAATTCAGAGACACTCTCCACTTGAAGAAATTCAGAACATGTACAAGTTACTTCCATATGTAAAAAAGTTTTCCACAGACAGCTATTTTAGATTTGGTTTATTCCAGCTTCTGCTCTGGATTCCTGATACACAAGGTTTCCATTGCACTATCCTGCTGCACTAAGGGAATGTTACTGGCTTGGATACTCCTCATTTTGTCCTGGGAGAGTAAGAAGCCCATTATCTCACATGAAATCAAGTGACCGTTATACAATTTGTAACTCAAAGCCCCTCCAAATAAAATATTACTTGCTTTCACAGATAATCCAAGTACAGCACACGAATCTCCACTAATCCTGTATGCCTGTAAAATGGGAAGACTTCCATTTGCTCAAGTCAAAAATGACAAGTGACAAAAAAGTGAGACATTTGCAGCTCACTACACAAACTGATGAGAAGTAGAATTCAAAATAAAAGCCACTTCTTATGCTTTGAACAACCCACTATTAAAATCCAAATAAGTGTCTGGACTGGAATAGTTGAAGAGACTTAGTTGTAGAAGTGTCTAATTAAATTCTTACAGAAAGGTCTGTACAAACAAATCTCCAGTTATATTAACGGCCTGCTCTTAGAAGTTACATCCCTAACACACTGTGATGCAGTTTGCTTCTTTGGCTTCAGTACTTACATGCACAGGTCCTGTATCTGGTAAAGAAGAGGAAGAAAACTCTTCCACTGTTAGAGCACAACGTAAATCCAGTATCTTAAAAAATAAAATACTTAAAACGCACTTTCAGGTGTCCCAGTTTATTTTTGCTCTTGGTTATTATTTGTGAATGCAAGCCGATCAGTTATTAAAACAAAAAAAAAGCATTTGTGTACAAAATTTCATCTGTTCCCTGTAGCCAATCCACAGTTTATCCGAAATCTCTCCAGCACGAGAAAACTACTTTGAAGATTTCAGACATTAAACTGAAAAACTTTCACTAAGCTCTGCCCCTTTAGAAGAACTGCTAGTCTTCTAGGCAGAATAAGACATCCTATATATAGGTCACACTGCCTTGTACTCTGGAGAGACTTCAGAGATTGGCTCTGATAGATATGGTGCTAATCATTTTTAATGTCTCAGAAGATACTGCAGCCTGGCTATTTTGGGACACCTGTTCACATTATGAGATTCAGCTTCCTTACCCATTTGGTCAGAAAACCCTTTGGAATTCACTTTGAAGTGCTCTGCCTCACACACTGGATTCTGACAATTAGTTTCCAGCTAAAAAGCATCATTGTTAACACGCAGTTTTTAAGTACTGCCTAAAATGTTTGCAAAATGTTTGTGACTAATTTTAAAACCTATGCAAGCTCATAGCCACTTCGGTTTAAAAGAGAGCAAAAGTCACACGACACTTGTGTCTCACCATCACCTAAATACAACATGAAGGCACTGCTGCATCGACGTTATAAACACAAAAGCATCTCATTTATATAAGTTATTCTAATGAAGGTGAACTACTGGGGTACTTAGGAAAAAGGGGGATTTTTTGTAAGTATCATACCACAGTAGCTGTAGTTCAACAAAAGACACAATTCCAGCTAGCTGGATTTTGTGCAAATTGGACATGTTGGGAAGGCTGACATAGGCAGAGAAATCTATTTAAAACAAAATAAACTGAAGTTAACTAGCACCAAGGGCAGGGATCAGATTAGCTGAAAGCTAATGAAGATTCCAAGAGTTTCTTTCCATTATTACCACATAACTTCCACATAAATCAGTCATTTCATGCCTTTCCCCTACAAAAGCCAGCCATCTTACATCGAGAAAGTTCTAAGACTTTGCCAGTGATGACACAGAGCCTTTAAGAGACATCTGTTAAATCAAATAAAGCACCTTACCTTACATTAGCCTACAGACAAAAGCAAAACTCTAGAACATACCTAGGTGCAACAGACCCAAGATCTGCAGCTTTTAAGCTCTATACATGCACAACATCAAAAGAGGTTTTATTCTCCAAACTAGTTACTCTATTTTTGTATCCCAGTGCTGCCACTTCTTGCTAGGGAAGACGACTTCTAGAGAGCTGTGCACTTTCCCTGCCCCGAGAGGTCACTGTCCCAACGAGCAGCCAAAACTGAAGTAGCTGTCAGACAGAAAGAGATGAACAGCAGCAGGGACAGCTGCAATTCACAACAAACTGCCTGACCCACATTCTTTCCCACCGGGATGTGGATGCAGTTTGACTCCAAGGGCATGGGTGGGCAAGGGGTCTTTTCCCCCTGCCCCAATGAAGGCAGCAAATGCAGATCACAGCGCTCTGGTTCCAAGCCCCAAAGTGATGCTCAAGAATCGAGATGGGTAGAGCAGAAGCTTCCCTGGTACAAACCATGGTGAGCACCCAGTCTGGAGTGGAAAGCTCAGCCTTGCTCACTCTGCTCCTCCTACTCTGACTTACAGGCTGCAATCAAATCAATACTCATCTACTCTGACATGAGAAACTTTGCTGCTTTTATTGTTCTTCACTTTCACCCAAATTTATATTCTGCTAGCTACTCAAGGCTTCATCTTTAGAAATGTTGTTCTTAAACTGGCCTTGTTTCCATTCATGAGGTACAGAAAAATATTATCCTTAATTGCATATGAAACACCAGAATGGAAACAGAATCACAAGACAGCAGATGTTTCTTTCCTAATCAATCAGTATGCAAACAGGAAAAAAAAATCTAAATAATCAGTTTGAATGCTAAGTGTAATTCCTACATAACTTTCAGCTGCATATGTATGCAAGCCATGAGTCAATGTTGGAAAAAAAACAGGTGTGTTTGTGCAGCCAAGAGAATTCATGCAATATTGCCTTCCATTATTGCTGAATTACAGAAACTGGCAGAAAAATTTGAGTATTGTGAAATATTCAAACCACATTGTATGATTTTTTTGTGCAATATGTGAAAGAGATAGTAGATGGAGATACAACACGGTCAAGGTCCCAAAGGAAAAGCAGGTTCTTTTGCTATTGCTAGGCCACTAAGATTGCCTACTAACAAAAATGAGAGAGTAAGCCATCCTACTTTAAAACAAAGGAAAAAAAGCATCAGTCCCTAGCATTTCAGTTACTTGGGAAGATGTACGTGGTGCACTGCCCGACACACAGCTGAATTCACTAGAGAGACTTATGGTAACTTCCTGGGATACAAGTAACTGGAAATTGGCCGATACAATTGGCAAAAATGGTTTAGGAAGTTCCTCAAGCTGCTTCCAACTGCTGACTTCCCAGAAAGGCCTCCAGTTATGTCTGGCATATCAAAGAACGACTGCACATACCGAGAGACCCCGCAGCACAGAGATACTCAAATCCTGCAACAAACAGATAGCTCCTGCCCCGTGAGGTCTAATTGGTTCTCATTACAGACAACTGTCTGAACAAAACAAGCTCTGAGAGCAGAGCAGAGCATTTCTCAGATTTAGTTGTCCTGGATAAATGAGAGAGAAGGAGAGGTAATACTAGAACTTGAATCTGCTGAGATGTACTGAATGGGAAACCCCACATGTAAAGCTTACCCTGCAGGATATCTTTTTCTGCCTGTCACAAAGAAAACCAAAGATTAACCACTCAAAGCCTGGTAAGCTACTTCTCCCCATAGACTTCAGCTTTATTACATGCTGAGTTTTAAACAAGATAGTAGAAGCCATAAGGATAACTCATGACGGTTTATTCTCTATCAGAAGAGAAAAAAAAGTAAAACTTGTAGCAACATAAATGAACAATAAAAAAAAATTTCTTCTCATTTCCACCACATTGACAAATTCTTGATTCATGTAATCTGATGCCAGTTTGGAAGCATTCCACTGCTCACCAGTTGTGAACACTTACCCAACAAAAACAAATTAATAATAATAAAAAAAATCCACTACAGCACTAAAGTTCAAGTTTTGATGATTCATGGTGTGATAATTCCTAATTCAGCAGAACATGGCCCATGCCACCCAAGACACAGCAGACAGGAGCAAGGAATAGTGGTACGGTTTTCAAACATCAACCAAGAGCAAGAGGGAATTCTATACATTTATGTGATGCCAATAAGATACTTACAGGGTTGTGAACTTCATCAGTTGAATGATGAACAGCCCACCAGTCAGATGTCCATTCCCAGGCATTTCCTACAATGTTGTACAAGCCATATCCATTGGGAGGAAACGCAGTGACCTGTACAAGATAGGAACACAAGTGCCAGTTCTGTGAACCACTTGGCACGAAATAAGGCTTTTGATCTTGAAAACCAGTCTGCTGAAACTAGGTGCTGAAGGTGCATTTGTCTTCACTAGGAGCTTTTGCCTTTCATATCTCAAAAGCAGACACCAAATTAGTTGTGCAGAACTGTAACACTTTTACATACTTCATTTAAATTAAACAGAATGAAAGAATGAACTATTATAATCCTCAATGTTCTCAGCACCACATCTCCACTATGGCACACAACCCTTCACAGAGGTTTTGGAGACTGATCCTCTGAAGAGAGGCACTGCTTGACCACCAGACACAGATCTGCACACAGCATTTGTGACCTCCATGCCCATGCTTACAACTTCCAGATTCCCCCACCCATCAAAGAAACGCAAGGGTGGCTATCAACCCATGCATATGCAAACTTCTCTGCTGATGAACTTTTTGGACTTATTTTAACTACCATTTAATAATCCATTCACATTCTTGATTGCCTTTACAATTCCACTCCATTGTTTGCTATACTAGACAGACTCAACTTTTCCAAAACATGAATTTCAATTTCTTTTAAACTCTCATATGATATTTGTGCCTCAGGAACAACTACCCAAAAAATGAGAGTTCAAAAAATTGTAATGCCAGAAGTGCAGGCAGAGAGGATTTCAGCATCTGACTATAAGCTGAATACACAGGGGGGAAGAGGTCAGTTTGAGAGGAACTAAAAGTTAAAGTGAAAGTAATCTTAACTTTTCAATTAGATTTTAAGAAGTGTCCCTTGGTAATACTCAAGCTTGCACTGAAATATGCTGTAACTTTAAAAATCTGAGGTGAAAGAGTACAGGAAAGAAACAGTAGTGGATCACTGAACACAGACCTCAATTTTAGGAAGACCAAGTTCACTTCCATAGGATTAATTCACTTTGAGACACACTTACAGGCGCAGTTCCTTTGTATCCATCTTCTGCAGTGTTATTAGTTGGGAACACTCCCTGCCAGATATTGGCATAATGCTGACCTTTTGGCTGAAGCTTGTTGCCCCATGGGAAAAGTCTATTAGAAGATACACAGAAGAACAGTTGTGAAACAAATGAGACTCATCATACACAAACTCCTTCCTCCCTACCTTACCCTGGAGAACCATTTGTATTCCAGTTCCATGTGCACCAACATCCAGCAGGCTCTCCAGGAAACAAGGGGCTCTACGAGGACAATGCATGCATGGAGGGGGAAAGGCAGCACTACCCTGTGGAGTCCAGGACACAGGACAGAGAAGCCGTTTGGCCTTGGCACTAAGGTCCTTCACTGCACCTATCTCCTGCAACAGCAGCAGTCCTGTGTCTTTGCATTTTGTCACATCTTCTCTCTTGGGATCTCTGTGTTCTCCTCCCATTATAAAGTTCAGATTACAATACACCATTTAGGTATTTTGGGAAATTCACTTACCTAAAGCAATCTGTTCAAAGTAAGCCAGTGTTAAGTTTACCACAAGCACACATACTACACAAGACATTGAGGGTAGTAAAAATCCACGTAACTCTTCCTTATGTAGTAAACACCAGCTGTAAACATTTATCAGGGACACTTTTGCAACAGGTACCGATTTTCAAGGCCGCCTCGACAGCTGTATTCCCACTCAGCCTCAGTTGGTAATCGTTTCCCTGCCCATGTGCAGAATGCCACAGCATCATTCCAGGAAACATGAAGAACTGGATGATCCATTCTGGGGAACAACACAAACAGGAAAAGACCATCATCAGAACAAGACAATCTCACAGTTATACGGCGCAAGCACTTCATGAAGCTCTTTAAGAGATGACCACAAAGGACTGTGAGGAAGTTTAGTTTAGTTACAACTGGACAAGTTACCAATTACTTTTAGAGAGAAGAAGCTCTTTAAAGACAGACAGCAAGATGCTGGAAGAGAAACATAGCCAGAGAAAAACATGGAAGAGAACAAAAAACAACCCACCCTCTGTTTGTGTCACCATTCTTTTATGTACAGCTCTATGCGTTAAAGACGTTTGTGGCTTATGCTTTCTCGTGGTCTCACCTCAGAAACCTGCTGCACCCAGAAGCCAGCAAAGAACTATTGATACCCTGGCTTCTGTGGAAACATAGGTGGTCAGAGACCCAAAGGAAGACACCAAAACCTTGCACCATTACTACCTCCTTGCCAGGCTATTTTAACAGTATCTTAACAAGAAGTCAAGATTCTCAATGGGAAACTTTACATTGCAATTTAATGGCAAATGCTCTTCACACCCTTGTGCACTCCTCTCTTTGCTGCAGGTTCTTTCTTTGCTCTTAGTTGTGGGTTTTTGAGGGCGAGGTGAGATGCAAAAGAGTCCTTACTCTTTGCAACAACTTATTTTGCAGCATTCAATCCAGGAAACATCAAACTGCAGAAATCTAACAAAAAATATTTTTCTTCGGGTGTTTCAAGCAGTCCTCAGTTTACACAAAAGCTCCCATCTTCCCTTTGGTTTGATTCCAGGATTGCCCTTACAATCCTAGTCTCTTCTTCCAGAAAAAAGACAGAAATAATGCCTAGTCATTCCTGACACAAGGATGCTCCCCATCCAAGCCTCTAATAGACCAAGACACTTCAAGAGCTGAGGGTACTGGTCCAGAAGAGATACAGAGGACTTCCTCTTACCTTGTCATTCCTGTCTCATTTAACATGCCAGCTTGTGCCTGCTGGTCCATTAAGCTACTTCCACATGGCAAGTTCACCAGCAGTTATTCTAGGCTAGGTTTGTGTCATACTTCTACAAGACTAGATTTACATGGCAGGTTTCCAATTCTTATCTGCTGTGACCTAAATTTCTCTGTCTTCCCCTAACAAGGCCTCCTGATACTATCTCTATTTTTGCCTCAGATAATTCTTTGATTGCCCTTGGAGAGCAGACAGTGGACTTGTTACTAAGCAGTTCAGCCATCAGATGATGTTACACTAACATAGCCCTGTCCTTAGAGGACTTAAAAACATGCCAGCATTTACCAGATCTAGGCTAGAGAGCCTGACTTTATTTCAAACAGCAGTTTTGAAACTTTAACTAGTTGATTAAGGCAGTTAGGGCCAACTTCACTGACACCTGCCTAGCAAGAGAAAGAGTTGCAGTATAAGAGGTCCCAGATGAAGGCAGTCACATCCAAGTAAGCATGCAGTAGTATACATAACTGAAGAATGGCTTTCAACATGTGCAACCCATATGCAGTATCCATAAAACACACCTGAGAATAATGAAACCTATCTAGGCATAAAACTCATTCCACTTCCGAATGGAAAGAGACTGGATAAAGATATGGATCAGCAAGTTTCAGGGTTCATGCTAGCAAAGCATGGCACTAACTATACACTGTTAAGAAAAAGTACAGTTTTCCACAGCATTTAGAACTCCTAGATAAAGTCACAACTGATTTTCCACAATAGCCAGCCCATACTGTCAGAATACATTAAAAAGCACAAAACTCAAGTCACCTGCTGCCAGGCCCTGTGCGCGGCCCACTGAAGGGCCATTTATGACTTACCTTTTGGAGATACTAGAGTCAGGACCCTCAGGGTGCTTCCAGTTGGCTCCCTTCACAGGCAGCCACCAAGGAGCAGCTGCAACCTGAAACAGGACAAGAATGGCCAGGGAAGAAGATTTAAATTCCCAGCTAAAGGTTGTTCTGAAAAACCACCATGTGACAACAGGCTACAAAGCTTTCACTCACAGCTCATGGCTCTGCCTGCGGCCAACTGACCTATTACATCCCAAATCCTCTCTGACAAGCCAAGATGATCATTTGATCCACATTACAATACTACTGGCCAGGGAATAGCCCAAGGTACGGAGCAGCACAAAGAAAATACCACCCAAAAACAAGTGAGAGGGAGACCAAATCCTGAGTGTACATTTCTGAAGTTCTGCCCTCTGCGTGTCTCTCCTTCCCTTCAACATTTTCTCACTGGCAGGTCTGATACAAGTTTATTCTCTTTGAAGGCACAGCCTTCAGCACACTGTGGTGTACCACTGCCCTCTCAGAAATTTTCTAGTATAGTCCTTCACCTCTGAAAACACATGCCAGGAACACTGAGATGGTAATGGAAGGAAGAGGTCATCTGGAACATTACAGGTTTACTCCATTCTTTTACAACAATATGCCCACAGTACAGTTAACCCTGCTAACCTTCTGGCTGACTTCAGTCTGACACATTCTGCAGAGACAATAAAAACCCGATAGCTTTGGCTTAAAGAGAATTTTCATCCCAATTATTTGCTCCCTAGACTCAGTGTTTTGGAATAACCGAAACAAAATCCTGATGATGTCCTTTAACTAGGGACAAAGCATGCATTTTGCAACACATTTGCTTTCCAGTTAATTAACTCAATAAGCCGATTTAAAATGATTTGCTATCAGCTTCCAGAAGGTGGAGACAGAAGAGCCACATAAGTCAAGTGAAGCCTCTTTTTTTTTTCTTAGTTGGTTTGCTGAGCTACATGAGGCTTGCAGACAAAACACTGTGTAACAATGCAGCTATCAAGTATTTCTTTTTAACCAAAAGTCTCAAATTTGGTTCTGTAATGCCAAGGAATTATTCCTGGAAGATATTCACTAAGGATTTCTTCTAGAAGCTTACTTCAAACCTGAGAAGGTCAGTGCACAACACATTTAACTATTCTATTCTGACTCACATTCACTTAGAAATACTTATCTTAATAATGGGTCCTTCATAAAATTGAGGCAAAGAAGAAAACTTAAGTTAACCATCAATAGTGTGGTTTTTTTCTAGCAGCTTGAGTGCTTCCTTCCAAAATACTCCTATTAGAGAGATAATTTCCATAATGAACAATAATGAAAGTAAATGAGCCTGCAATGCTTTAGGAGTTCAACAACCTACCAGCTGGTTTGCCCTAGACCTAGGAGGTCCAGATGCTCCTCTAACAGCAGCCTGTAGAACAGCCTTCAGCAACTTCTGCCCTCCCTACTGCCCCTCAGCCTTCCCTGCTCTACAGATAGCAAAGGGAAGAAGTAGAATATTTCTTTCTCTTCATCATGCTGCTAAATCTACTTTGTAAATTGTTACACACATAGGCAGGAATTGTGCCAACTGTGTTATCCTTTAACTCACCAAATCCTTCACAGGAAAGTCCAAAAGTGAAAGTCACTGAAAGCTGGTACTCCAGAAACAGAGCATCAGCCTGCTCAAACAACTTTAACAGCAGCTTCTAGGAGGAAGCTCCATCCTTCAACAACAATGAGCATTTAACACAGTTACATGTGTGAGAGAAAAAATTATCTATGACAAACATAAATTGTTAAGAAAAACTCTGGTCCAAGCTACACATCAAATCACTCATTTAAATGTTTCAGTAGGAAAATAAACTGAAATGTCTGAGAAACAGAAGTGCTGCTAATACATGAAGACCTATTGTCTTATTTTTAAAGCATCTGACCAATCTATGCTAAGACAGCTTTTCACTCTTATCCCATCATCACATACAGAGTTTGCCTACAGCACAGATCTGGGTACCTTACCTAAAAGCTCATTATAAATCAATAGCAAGCCTGGACTAAAGCTGCACAGTTGGCCGCTTCAGCTCAGCTGAGGAGCCCACAGCTTTTTGCGAGCTCTTGGCGAGAGCACTGGAATCCCAAAACGCGCTGCAGGACTCCTCCGGCCTGGGAAGTCACCCACACAGTTTTTGGTGCTCTCTCTTCCAAAGCAAGTGAAGAGAAGACATTAGTGTTAAGTACAAAAGAAATAAAGATGGTCGTGGTACCTTGGCGATGACTGAGACGTTCTGTCCATACACTCTCCATCTAAATGGATCCCTCCAGTACACTACTAACACAATGACATTTCTTAACAGTCCTGCTTTCTGATCTCCCTAGCATGACAAGCCCATAAATCAACATCAACCACATAATCCTGACTCAGTATCTAAAAAAGCCAACGACTTTCTCACCACAAGTGGAGCCCCAACCCTCTTCAAAAAAACATGAGAAGTATCTGATCTCTTCCTAGAAACTACAGCTCTGTTACTAAGCATTCAAACCCAAAGATAGGAGCTTCATTCAGAGATACTCCACTCAACTCTCAGCACTAAAGCTTCAGTATGATCAAGCTTCTAAACAGATACTACAGTCAATAGGTTTTAAATTAGTCTGATTTAACCAATTCCTGGTATATTCTGAGCTTTAACCTTTAATCTCCAGTCAAGATAGGACAGAAATCCAAAGCCAAGATTTTTTTTACAGCTCTTTAAGGAAACTAAGTGAGCTGCTGTGTCATTTGTTATAGGTTCTCCATGAATCTGCAAGATCATTAGTAAGATTTTATCCTGATAGTTTCTAAGCAGAACAAATTTTTGTAAGGTAAACTGCTGGGTTTTAGATTAAAAAAAAAATCTCCACAGGAGACTGCAAAGACTTACACTTTAGAAGACTAATTTTGGAAAACATTTTTGTTATGCAAAAGAAAAAGCAGATGCTTTCAATCAGAATGGTTTATTTTAAACTGAGAAAAATACAGTCTCTCCGCATGAGCGTGCTATGTGTGCACATCTTCTGTTTCTGGCTCTGCTGAACTGAACACCAAACGACTGCCAGTCTTTGCAGGACACCCAGACCTTTAGAGAAGTTACACATATACTACTAGGACTGTGATCACAGTGACAGACTAGGTACAGCCTTCAATAATTAATTGGAAACTAATCTAAGTCAGCCACTGACACCAGCGAGCAGGCACCCAGATGCTCCTCCTAAAAGGGAAAGTCATGTACCTGAAATTTACAGTCCTTTCAAAAAACTTCTCAGAAGTCTTTAAAGCTTTTAATTGCTCTAAATCTAACTAGTAGAAGAGCTAATTAGACAGAGATATTACAACATCATAGTTAATACAGCAAAACCCTCCCTTGCCACTACTGAGCTTAGTTACTTTCTTAACGCTTAGCGTTCCCATGCTGCACTCCAAAACGTGTTCTGGAGAGTCCCAACAGATTCGTTTTGTAAAAATAGCAGCACGTGCTGCTGAATAGATCTTGAAGTGATACTGAATTAGAGAACAACATCTCCTTCATCTGGATTAACTCTGCACAGCACAGCCTATCACTCGTAACACAACTGGTTAAACACAACTGCCCTGCAGGCGTTACACCACTGCCTTCATCGACAAGGAAAGGCAGCACTAGGAGCAAAGCACATCTTGGAGGCAGAGAAGCTCAGTGCTTGTTCTGGTCTGATCCAGCTGAAAACTTGGATTATCCAGCTCCTTGCTCCAGGATTAGAGTTTAAGAACTCACTGTTCTGCTTCTTACAGACTTGTAGCACTATGAAGAAAAGGGAATGTGATAATACTGGGAAATACACTAACAGTTAATTCCGACCTACAAGTTCTCCACTCAAATGAAGCAATTTGCAGAACTGAAGCTTATACTCCCACTATCAGCTTGCATAAAATTCAAAGTTTTAAGCATTCAATTTTCTTTTCAAGGTAGGCTGGGGTATCCTAACTGTAATTGCTTCATTAACTCGTGATTTCAAGATTTCTGGATGACTTCACAATTACCTTGAAGATAATTCCTTCCTAAATATACATACAAAAAAAATAAAAGAGGGGAACATCAAGAAAGTTCATCTCATCAGCAACACTATATTGCTACTGGTACTGCAAAAGCACACCCAAAAGCCACCCAAAAATGCCGTTAATAACCATGAAACCATTGGTATTGGTCTTACACCGAACATGGCACTGGCCATGTTGGAAAAAAAAGAAAAAGAACCCCTCACTTTACCTTCAGATTGCAGATTCAGAACACATTTATGTATTAGAAAAATGACCAAAAATAAACTCAACTGAGTAGCTAATCTTGGCTCTACTTCCATTTCTAACATGCAACAAGTCACTTGAAATAACAAAGCTGTAGATTTTAACCTTAACTCGGGCCCATAAGATAAGAAATTCATGCTGTTGTCCAGACATGCAGCACCAAACATCTTCTTTTGATGTGCTACAGCATTCTAATGCTATTTTAATATAATAAAGCCTGCACACACTAGGTCAAGATAAACACATGGAAGAAGCAAAAGTTATTGCAGAGTAAGGACTTCAGCAATTTAGTAATAGACTATCTGAAAATATTATTTTCTGAGTGAAAAGTACTCTATGTCTGGAAAACCCTTCAAGAATCATTCATTAAGTGACACACTTTGGTTTCAGAAGCTGACTGAACAGGTTACCATTTGTCTGAATCCGATTGCGTTAAGCACGGTACATCTTGAATTGGCAAAAGCATCCTCTTGGCTGCAAAAGGCTGCAAATGCGTGCATCGGCTGGAAGCAGGCAAGTTACAAAGCATTATTTTTGGGAAATACACACACTGGTCTGGACACCCTCATTGCTAGCACTGGTAGGACGTGAGAAAAAATATGAGTTATTCAGTAAAGAATATAATTTTTGGATGAGGTCTTATTTTATCCATGTGAGGCAGATAGACATAAATCTCTGTCAATTGTTCCTCCTCTAAGCCATATCCTAAACCCTGAACAGCTGATTAATGAACTATTGAAGAAAGGGGCAGACAGAAAACAGAACATGTTTAGCAGGGCAGGGAGTTTAAGAAATGAA